GTTTCTAAAGCAGTATCATTATGGAAGTAGATTGCCCCATCTTCCTTCCGAGGAGTGGCTGGTAGGTTTGAACCACCAGCCTTCTGGTTAGCAGTCAAGTGCCTTAGGCACTACACTACCAGAGCTCCTAGATACAACTCTAGTTTATTCATTTTAGCTATTCTGTTGTAACAACATGTCACAATTTATTTATTTTCCTGCTAATGAGTATTTAGGCTGTTTCCTTTTTTTTTTTTTTTTGGCATTGAGAACAATGTTGTAATGAACATTCTTGGATATATGTGTAAGAGAATTTTTATAGTGTGTACTTAGAAATGGAATTGTGTCATAGAGTATGAGTGCTTTAGACTTTTCAAGCTTATTTGAAACTTCTCTCCAAATTGGTGGTATAGTCTACTAGTAGCATATGAAAATTGCTTGGTCATGGTTATGGATTGCATTGTTTCCCTCAAAAGATATGTTGAAGTCCTCACCCTTGTATCTGAAAATGTGGCCTTGTTTGGGGAAATAGATTTTTTGTTTTTCCTTTGCAGATAGTTAAGTTAATGATGTCATACCAGAATAGAGTGGATCCTAATCTTGTCTGAGTGCTATCTTACATATAAAAGAGTCACCTACAGTGGGAAGACAGCACAGGACCATCCCTCTACAAGCCAAGAAATGCCATCAAATGCCTGGGGTTATCAGAAACTGACAGAGCCAAGGAAGGATCTTGCTCTAGAGATGACAGAGAGAGTATATACCCGTACTGAAGTCTTGAATTTATACTTCTAGCTTCCCGAACAGTGAGAAAATAAACCTCTGGTCTTTAAAACTACATACTTTGTGGGATTTCTGTATGGCAGACCTAGGAAACTGAGATTTTTGTTGTTACTGGGTACCATCAAGTTGATCCTGGCTCATAATCACTCCATGCTTCATTGGGAGCTCAGATAGCATAGTGCCTAAGGCACTAAGACTGCTAACCAGAAGGCTGGCAGTTCAAACCCACCAGCTACTCCTTGGAAGGAAGGTTGGGCAATCTACTTCCGTAGTGATACTGCCTCGGAAACCCAAGGAGGGGTCAATATGAGTGGGGTCCGACTCGACAGTATATAACAACAACAACAACAACCATGCTTCATTGACTTTAACATGCCGTTGTGTTGATTTACCAGCCAATATCTTATTTAGAATTGTTTACATCTATCTTCATTAGTGAGATTGGTCTATAATTTTCTGATGTTTCTTTTTCTCTGAAACACCCCAGAAATTTTTATGAACAACATCTATTTTACAACTGATTATATGATTGTCTCAAATATGTTCGTTTTATCATCCTTGCTAGGTGATAAGCAGGTTGAGGTCAGGAATTTTATCTCTTATGCTACTTGCCTCCCTATGCAGGTAGGATACAGATAGGGGCTCAGTATGTATATATTGGGTGGATCAATAATATGGAGTGAAACATCTCAGAAATATGAATAGAGTCAATGAACAGGAACCTGCTTGTTAAGCCAAAGAGGTCCTGTACCCCTTACCCAGGTCTTCATTTCCATTGCCTGGTACAAAAGAATTGTAGCAAGGGCGATGGTATTGATGGGTGTTCCAAATGTGAAGACATCAATATCAGAGTCCTTGTAAGTCTGCACAGAAAAACAAATAGGCACTGTCAGCTGTGTCCATGGAGGAACAAGTCTTTGATAGATGATTATAGAGCATCAATGAAGTTAGGTTTCAAGGGAAGGGAAGGGACAGGGAGGGAAGAAGATCCTCTTTTATGTGGAAATGACTCAAGGAAGAGACCAAGGTGAGGAGTCAGTTGACAGGACTAAATTTTTAGTAACATGGTTGCCAGAGGAAGCCACAGATGGGTACTCCAAAAATATTGTGGAATAAATGACACAAGAGTTTACTGAACACGAGGTACTGTGCCAACTGGAGTAAACGTCTATATTCACCTCCAAGGAGTTTATAGTATATTGGTCAGGGGAGGTGTGGTACAACTAAGGGGATCAGGGCTACAATAGAGGCAAGAATAAGGCATGCTGGGAGCACAGAAGAAGGCTATCTCAGCTGAGACTAGAAAAAAATGTATAAATCAATTGAAGAGGGAGGGGAAGGAAATTCCAAACAACTGAAGGTGAGTGTGGTTGGTTTGTAGAACTCCAAAGTGTCTTGTATGGTAGGTCTGGGGCAAAAGTGCAGGGACAAAAGAGGAAGCAGGAAAGGTAAAAGAAGAAGCCTATTAAGGGTATTGTAAATCAGGAAGTTAGAATGCAGCACAGCATGTTTGCCTCTATCCACCCCAATTTTGTTGCTAATTGAAAGAGAATATGTGTCCAGAGGCTGGTACCTCCCCATTCTGCACCCCGCCCCCAGGAATATAGATATTCTTTCACTATCTAAATTGTTGCTATTCAAACTGGGAACCAAATTGAGATGGTGCTAGATTCTTATTATTTATTTCAGTATTCTTTCTATCAGAACTTGTCTCCTGAACTATTGCTACTTTGATTTTGGAAGCACCAATCAATATATACATCAAGGTTTGTAAACTCAGATACCTTCAGTGGTTGGTCAAGAAGCAAATACTCAATAAGTGAAGGACGAATGTAAGACAAAGGAATGACTGGGACTTTGGCAAACTGAAGAGCATGTGCCGCAAAAAGTAGAGGTGTGAGTCAACTCCAGTTTATTGCCATGAAGGAAGAACAACCCAGTGTTACAATATCTTCCAGTTTTTAAAAGCATCCAGAAATTAAGGAATCTGGGTAAAATGTTCTGGTTTATCCAGATATGGCCCACAGGCCACCTGTTTGGATGCTCTGTTCAGAAAAACGTTACAAACCCAGAATTGCATATAAATGGGACAAGTTCCACCCTGTGATTTTTATGGTTAGTATGGGTCTACATGACTTACCAGGTAAGGGATAAAGAAGCAGACTAGGCTCTGGTAGAATGCATCCATCATGGAAATCCAGAAAGTAGACAGACTGTAGCACTACAAGGAAAAACATGCCAGCAGTTACCACCAACAGAGCAAGCCCCCATTTTTGCAAGCAACTTCCCAGTGCATGTCAGGGGGAAGACAATATGGCATGTACAATGACTCTTATTTTAGAGGAAATGAAGTGGAATGATTAAGAACAGACCCCAGTTTAAGCCTTAGCTCCACCACTGTGTGATCTTGTAAAAATCACTACACTGGGTGGTTCTGGCAAGATGGCAGACTAGGCAGAAGGATTGCACAGACCCTCTTCAACAAAGAAAAGGGAAACCAATTAACACAGACACAGAAGATAATCTTGGACCCCTGAGCCTTGAAG